GAAAAAAGAAAGGAATAAAGAACACAGGTGTGTATTCTCTTTTAAAAGTGGCTAGACTAGGAAAAAATGATAGGTATCATTAGTTCACAGAATTATCAGCTGGCAGAAGTCCTCAAGGTTGAAAGCCTCATGTGTATCAAGAATTATAATACATTCCAAACACAACTCAGTGGCCCATGTGTTGCTGAGGTGCAGGAGAAAGACACCAAAAGGCCAAGATGCCCTATTTAATCTTCTAGTCACACCTTAGTCAAACTCGTTAATTTGTAAAACCTGGTTTTTATTTTTTTGAGGTTAAACATGTTTTTAAGACTGTTAAGTCAATAAATCTACTTCCATTAAGCAAAAAATAATCCCAACAAGGCAGAGGGCTTTAGAAAGCAGCTGCTCATCCTCACGGTGTCTAGCTTACATTTCCCCATATTACACATATCAATAATTATCAGAAAGTTATATATAGTTTGGTAAAGACTGCTTATTGTACATAAGAACCAAATGTGTCTGGAGCATTGTTAAACTTTACTAGTATTCATGTGAACTCTTAGGATTTTCTAGGAACTGCTTTCAAAACACTACTCTCCAATATCATAAAAGGGACACTTGTGCCGAGAAAACATTGCAAGAGGACAATGGAGTAAAACACAGAGTATCATTCAAGGTTGCTGCAATATACTTCTTTAAATTAATGACTGTCATCTGGATTCATAGTATTCTAGCAAATTATGTTAAGTACTGATTTATAAATAACTGTTGTTAATTTCATTCTTTCATTATTTAAGTCATCTGATTCCTAAGACTCGAGATAACAAAATGATGGCATGTTTAACATTAGAAATTGGATAGAGCTAATTTAGAAAATATGCCGAAATCTTTAAGGTAGGAACAAAATTATGGTTCATAACAGAATCTATTTAAGAATATCTTTTCTATAGCTCGAAAACCTAAGTATCAAAACCATGAACATCTTCATTTCTTCATGATAAAATAATGAAGCTAAAGATGATGGTGAACTGAAATGCTGCTTTACAGACTATAAATTATGCTACTGTCCTTTTCCTTTACTTATCAAACAATGTTTATAAAAACTCTTCAAACTGGGCTGGAGAGAGGGCTGAGTGGTTAAGAACACTGACTGTTCTTGCTGAAGACCCGGGTTTGAATCCCAGCACCCACATGGCAGCTAACAATTGCCTGTAACTCCAGTTCCAGAGGATCCAAGAGCCTCTTCTGACCCCTGCGGGCACTGCATGACACGGATGCACTTACCTACATGCACGCAATACACTCATAAGCATATAAAAAACTCTTCAAATTATCAAATTAGCATGGGAATTAGAAAATACATAAGACAAAATAAATTGTTCAAAGACATCTTTTATCTTTAATATTACACCACCTAAAATAAAAGATATTTTCAGCAGGTGGAAAATATGTCTGTGTTTGTTAAATGCATTTCAAGAGTATTTCACTTTAAATTTCACTATTAACATACATTTATTTACGTATTTATGTATTTATTTATTTATTTAGATGGAGGGTCTCACTATGTAGCCTTGCCTGGCCTAGAACTTGCATTGTGGACTAGACAGGAGTGGAACTCACAGACACCTACTTGTCTCAACTCTAGAGTGTTGGGATTAAAGCTGTGTGCATGACTATAGCCAGCCTAATTTGATTTTTCATAAGAAATCGATCTATTAATATATTAGAATAATGTGTTTATTTTTGTGATGTTTGTAATATATATTTTCATAATTGACTTGATTTTATTTTATAAATTTTAAATTTTTTAAATAGAA